GCTTGTCGGAGACCTCCTCTTCAATCTCACTGGTATCAGTGGCAAGGTGGAAGAAGAAGAGGTGGAAGAGGGTGCCAAAGAAGCAGGCCAGTCTCTCCTCGAAGTACTCGGAGAAGAAAAACGAAACAAGGTCTTGTCTGCGTTATACATATGCAGGTGCGACACTTCTGGTTTGGTGCGCACTGCATCCGTCACTGTCTGGAAGGCATTGGTTGCCAGTCCTCGTACTTTGCGGGAACTTATCCCTACGCTCACACAACTTATCATTCGCCGCTTGGCAAGCTCGAACATGGAGCAGAAGGTCATCGCCAGCAACGCTCTTGGAGAACTCATTCGAAAGGCTGGAGACGGTGTATTGGCTACTTTGTTGCCTACTTTGGAAGAGGGTCTTCATACTACCGATACCGACACCAAGCAGGGTATCTGCATTGCCTTGCGAGAACTCATCGCAGCTGCTTCGCCAGAACAGCTTGAGGACTATGAGAAGACACTCATACAGGTCGTCCGAACAGCTCTGGTGGATCACAATGCAGACGTGCGAGAAGCTGCCGCGGACGCTTTCGATGCTCTTCAGCAGATTCTTGGGAAGAAGGCCGTCGACCAAGTCTTGCCATATCTACTCAACCTTCTGCGATCAGAGGATGACGCCCAAAATGCCCTCTCGGCACTTCTCACTCTTCTCACAGACCAGGCGAGGTCCAACATTATTCTGCCGAATCTCCTACCAACGCTTCTTACTTCTCCGATGTCTGCCTTCAATGCTCGCGCTATTGCATCGCTGGCTGAAGTTGCAAGCTCTGCCATGTCTAGGAGATTGCCAAATATCCTCAATACCATCATGGACAACATCATTGCTTCAAAGGATGAAGATCTCAAGTCAGAACTGGAAGCATCTTTCGACAAGGTACTCTTGTCCGTAGATGAGTTTGATGGGCTCAATACCGCCATGAGTGTCATGCTCGCCTTGTCGAAGCACGACGACGAGAAGCGACGTGCACGTGCGGATATGCACCTTGCCAAGTTCTTCGCAGAAGCAGATGTCGACTTTTCGAGGTACTATCCTGATCTTATTCGGGCCCTTCTCATTTCCTTTGACGACAGCGATCCCGAGGTCGTCAAAGCAGCATGGACTGCGCTCAGCACCCTTACGTCGAAACGGTTGCGAAAGGAAGAGATGGAGTCTCTCGTCATTTCTACGCGCCAAACACTCAACCAAGTTGGTGTTGCGGGTGCAGATCTTCCAGGTTTCTCACTTCCAAAGGGTATCAATGCCATCTTGCCTATTTTCTTGCAAGGTCTCATGAACGGATCAGTCGAGCAGCGAACACAGTCTGCATTAGCTATTTCTGATATCATTGACCGAACAAGCGCCAAAGCATTGCAGCCATTTGTCACCCAAATCACTGGACCCCTCATTCGTGTGGTTACAGAGCGCTCTGTCGACGTCAAGGCCGCCATCCTACTCACGCTCAACAATCTCCTTGGAAAGATCCCTACCTTCCTCAAGCCTTTCCTACCGCAACTTCAACGAACGTTTGCCAAATCACTCGCAGATACATCCTCTGATATCCTACGAGCACGAGCGGCCAAGGCCTTGGGTACATTGATCAAGTTAACACCGAGGGTAGACCCTCTGATTGCCGAGCTGGTAACGGGATCAAAGACAAGCGATGAGGCTGTCAAGACGGCCATGCTGAAAGCCTTGTTTGAAGTAGTAAGCAAGGCGGGTAAGAACATGAGCGAAGCGAGCAGAAATGCCATTCTGGGTCTCATTGATACTGAGACTGATGAATCGAATGGTAAGACTAGAATCGATGACATAGTTCCACCACCCACTAACACCGTCTAGACGCAATGGCCATTACCAATGCTCGACTTTTGGGTGCCCTCATCAGCTGCTTGCCCGAGGAAATTGCCTCCAGCCTGCTCAAGGCCCGCGTCCTGACTACACATTACAACAAAGCATCCGTGTTGGCGCTCAACGCTATCTTGCTCGATGCACCCGAAGCCTTGACAGAATCCTTTGCTGACGAGACTGTGTCCATTATCTGCCAGGGTATCGCGCACTCACAACCGTTCATTTCAGACAATTCGGTCCTTGCAGCGGGCAAATATCTGCTGTCCGAGAAGAGCAACAAGAGTTTCGATCATACAAAACCTATTTTCGAGGCTCTTGCGCCAGTTGTTGAGCCCGGTCATCCTGTTGACACGAGGCGGCTGGCACTTGTGGTGCTTCGAACCGTCTCGCGGCAACACAATGAGCTCGTCCGGCCACATATTCCCTTGGTTATACCAGTGGTATTCGCATCTGTTCGTGATCCAGTCATTCCAGTTAAGCTGGCTGCAGAAGCAGCATTCCTCAGCATCTTCTCGGTAGTAGATGAGGAAAGCGCCGTTTTCGACAAGTACATGACTGGTCCAGGCAAGAGCTTGTCTCCAGGTCAGCAACGTAGCATGGGAGACTACTTCAAGCGTGTGGCCATGAGGCTAGCAGGGCAAGCGAGAGAAAGGAAAGAGGCAGAGGGTGGAGCAGGCAGTCTCGGTCTATCTAGTGATGAGGTTGAAGACGAACGTGAAATCTGGAGTGTCGGAAAGGTTGAGTTGGGAGATGTGTTTGGCGATGATTAGTGATGGGATTGTGTATATGGATAGAAAAGAAAAGCCCCCCCGGGCGGCATCCAGCATCAGCATAAGGACTAAAATGATTGTGATAATGCACTATGATGGTTTCCTAATAGCATTGCAAGTTGGTGCAGTATGTGTTTTCCTCCGAGGTAGCATGCGAAGGAGGAGATTGAATCGGGCGGGTTTGAGGTGTGCTTATAGGTGACCTTGTTAGGCTGTTCAGTGTCAACTCCGCAGGACCCCCGAGCTCTGACCTCACGCTCTCCACGACTGCGAGCCGTCCCATCAACCCACGCCCCGCACAAGACCCGCTGCATCTCCCCGTCATCAGAGAACAATAGTGGCTACTCCTGCGACTTGGGTTATCTATTTATATAAGCGCGCAGGTCTCTCCGTCGCTGTCCCTCGCTCGGTATTCATCTCGGCCGTGGGCACGCGCATCTGTCCCACTGCGCGACCAACTCGCAACGCGCACATCACCACGCATTGAGCGCCACCACGGCGCGTCTCCACCGCCATCATGGCAGGTACGATACGGCCGAATGAAATGAATGCCGCGACGACGCCGACTCTGTCCTCGGGCACCTTGCCCAACCTCATGACCCTGCAGACGGACCTCAGCAAGAAGCCCAGTGTACCACGAAGCCCGCGCGTAGATGTCGAACCTCTATATGCCGCTGTTAAGGGCGCTATCAGCGACACCGACTGGACAGTCTACAAGAAAACCCTCTCCTACTTTCTCCTCGGCAATCTCAACCAGGAAGAACTCTCCCAGAAGCTATCCAAGATCTTGACCACGCCCGCCCTTGAACACGCGCACAATGCCCTCTTCACAGCCATCTATGCGAACATATGGCGCGATCCGCCAGAAGCTGGTATCGCAAGTTGGGTCAGCAGTAGCGATAAACCGACGAGCGGGACGGTCAAGGGGACAGGGGATGAGAGCGAGAAGCGGCTAAAACATGAAGTTATGCAACTAAGTCGCAGGGAGAGGAAGAGATTAAAGGGCATACCAGCGGGCGAGAGCCCGTTGAGTACAGGCTTAGAGGGGGGGCTGAGTGTGGGCATGACAGGTCCGGTACAGGAATATGTTGACGCCAGACGAGCGAAGCAGCTGGACATTGGACCTAGTAGCAACCAAGGCGGCGGATTCGCAAAGACAAGTACGTATCATGATATTTCATCGTCATCACGAAAAATTGTTGTCTTCGCACACTGACACTGCTACAGACTGGGAACTCGAAATCCGCAAGCGCTACACATCCGCCCTATACGTTGAAACCCACGAATTCCCCACCGCTATGACAATATCCTACCGCCTCCTCCCCATCTGCTACGAATACGGGCTCCCCCAAGGCCACACCGCCGACTGCCCCGACTACCTAAACATCGCAACCGAAACCTACATCAAAGAAGCCCTCGCCAACCTCCTCGGCAAAGTCTGCAGCAACGGCCCCGGCTACGTCCGCACGGGCGACTTCAAAAAGAAGCAAGCACGCGAAGAACGACTCGCGGAAAAGGGCGAGCTTATGCGTGGTCCCGCGGGCGAACTCCCCATCGAAGCTGAGGAGCGCCGGAAAAGAAGACCACTTTGCACAGAAGATTTACGACTTGCTCTTGAACTCGGCGATGGGTATCTCGGTCAAACGCCGTTTATCGCAGGCTCTATCTTGCATAGTCGCTTCTTGGATACCGAGGGTATCGAAGATCTTTACGATAACACGTCTTCTTCTAAGCCGCTGACGAACGGACACACCAATGGCGATGCTGCTAAACTCTCCTTTGCGCCTGAAACATGGACTGTGGATTTTGGAGATGCGATGATGGTGGATGAGGAGGTGGGGTTGCATTGGCAGGGTGGCAGTGTGCAGGATATGGGGGATTTGGATGAGACATTGGAGGATATATTGAATCTTGGGGATTTGTGAGCGGTTTGTTGATTTCTGCATGAAAGAGATGGAGAGGGTCGTGGGGGTATTGCAAGATGATGGGATTTTTTTCAAAGTGCATGATGCATGGTATATGGGCGTTTGCTTTGGTCCTTTGGTAAAAGGCGGGAGTTGAGCATTTTGGTGTTTGAGTCGGTGTTTGTGTACATGGGATTATGATACCCTATCTCTTTTTTTTCTGAATGTTATTTATTGTTTGAAGAGATTCTTTGGGAGAAAGAATGGTGTGTGGCGTTTGATGTCTTGCAGCAAATAATATTCCATATTACCATTTTTCAGTTCTATCTAGTACTACTCGGTACCATGCTTCGTTTGATAAACAGTCTCGTACTAATCATACGAAAGCAAGAAATCCCATTGAATACACCCTACACTTCCCTATCCCCATCTAGTCCACCTCAAGCCCTTCATCCTCTCACACTCAACTCAATCACCCTCTTTCCCCTTGCTCTTCTCAGCCCACACCGGTTCCCCATCCCCATTAAACTCCGCCCAAGCAAAAAACCCACACCTCTCCTTCCCCGGCACAAACCCCGCATGACACATCCACATATAGCGGCCCCTCGACTCCCTCCTCCTCATCGCGCACCTCAGCACCGTCGGCACCCCACATCTGCACCTCGGGGTGTACTTTGGATGCAAACTCTCCCTGTACCAGCGATAGGTAACATTAATCCTTTTATTCCCCGCCAGCGGATGCGGATCGATCGCCTGGGCGGGCGCGATACTATGTTTCCACTCCTCCTGCATCTCTGCGTGCATTACTAGTAAGGAGTTATGCGGGAGATGGATACTGATTTGGCCTTGGGCATCGCCCATCTCTCCGTCTGACGAGGAGTCGTCTTGCGCAACGATTCTCCGCACGCGAAATTCGCGGGCGACGCCTAGGCTCAGGCTGCCGATTACGGGGCGGGGACCGAGGTAGGTGAGTTGGTCGGCGTGGTAGCCGACGCTTTGGTGGGGGCCGTCGTAGCAGTTTACAAAGGCGGTGTTTGGGTGCCAGGGGTGAGGGGATTGGTGGGGGAGTTTTTGGGCATTGGGGTAGAAAGTGCGGATTCGACGTTGGATTTCGGTGTTTACGGTGTGTTGGACGGCGGGGAGGGCGGCGAGGAGGGAGGGGGGGCTTTGACGGACGTTCTGGAGGTTGTCAATATGTATATTGAGGAAAAGATGCGATGGAGGAGATTAATTGAGAACGTACATCTATTTGTCGCCCGTCGTAGACATATTCCGTCTTTTGTCTTTCGACTTCTTCGAGACTATTGACGTAGAATGCGTATGTATGTGGACTCTGGACTACTCTATCGAAGAGCTTGAATTCAAACCGTTGGTATGTGGATGATTCCGCGAGTAACTCCACGAGTAGTGCATCGGCTTGTTTCGTTGGGAGAAAGTTGTGGATAATGGAGCATGGTGTATGTGTTTCAATGTCTTCTGGGCTATACAGAAACAGTGTTTTGCCTTTTTTCACTACAGACTTCTTCGCCAACGTGCCGTTTGGCGGGGCAATCCGGTACGAGGTCAATGACGATTGATATCCGACTGTGGTTGTTGCAGGCCGCTTTCTCACAGGCGATCTCGAAGATTGTGCCAGGTACTCTGATGCCTGCTCGACTGATCCGTCTGCTGCGAGCAGGGCTTCAAGCAGAGCTGCTTCATCAATGTCTGCATGTAAAGATGCCAATATCGCCAGTTTGAAATCCGTTGATTCCTCCTCTTCCCCGGACTCCACACGCATACTCGCAACCGCAGGCTTCACCACCCCCTCATCCCGCTTCCTCTTGCGCGTCACAAACGCGTCCATCTCTTTCCTGTAAAACACACGGTACGGTCCTCATGACGAAACAAGCCGCATCCAGCGATTGGTAGTACCAGACGCAAGTGGCGAATAGTCTCCAGGCTACAAACGCGAAGTCACGGGAACAAAAAAAGGGTCCCCTGCTACCCGAAGCCAGCCAGCCCCGCCATGAGCTACACTCGCGCCTCGGCCATAGTAGAGCACCACCCGCACTCGTCATCCGCGAAACCATGCATGCAGCACATCACCCCCCAGCTTCACTTCTTTCTCCGTCGCGCAAAGATGCGCCACATGCTGCCCAATTTGCACGCGCCATAGTCTGACCATTCTCTCTCTCTCTCTCGTTTTTGACTCTCTCACTTAGCCGCCAACATGCTTGAGTTCCGCACCCAGGGCTTCAACGGCTACTCGGTCAAGTACAGCCCATTCTTTGATTCGCGCATCGCAGTCGCCACGTCTGCGAACTTTGGGCTGGTGGGGAATGGACGGCTGTATATTCTTGGTTTGACAGCTAACGGCATAGTCGCTGAGAAATGGTATGTCTTCCCTTTCTGCTTTACTCATACATATGTATATATGTGTCGTGTGTGTACACACAGGCTCTTTCACATGCTAACCACATCACACCACTTAGGTTCGACACCCAAGACTCCCTCTTCGACAGCACCTGGTCCGAATCGCACGAAAACCAACTCCTAACTGCCGGCGGCGACGGCTCCGTCAAACTCTTCGACATCAATGTCCCCACGTACCCCATCGCCTCATGGCAAGAGCACGCGCGCGAAGTCTTCGCCGTCCACTGGAACCTCGTCGCAAAAGACACCTTCCTCTCATCCTCCTGGGACGGCACAATCAAAATCTGGAACCCCAATGCCAACGCCAGCATCACCACGCTACCCACACATTCCTGCACGTATTCCGCGGCGTTTAGCCCGCACAATCCCAGTGTACTCAGCAGCGTGAGTTCAGATAGCCATTTACGAGTATTCGACCTGCGCACCCCGGCGAGTGCGAGTAACCATCTCACAATGAGTCTGCCAATCCACCAGCCGCCCAAGGCGCGCATGGGGACTGCAGCGTCCGTCGGCATTGCGCCCGCAGAAGCACTAACGCACGACTGGAATAAGTACCGCGACACGATTGTTGCAACGGCGGGCGTCGATCGCGTTATCCGCACGTTTGATATTCGCATGCCGCAGCAAGGCCCCATTGCCGTGCTGCCTGGACACGAGTATGCGGTTAGGAGGTTGAGTTGGAGTCCCCATCTCTCGGATATACTGCTCAGTGCTAGTTACGACATGACGTGTCGGGTGTGGACGGATGGTAGCGCCATGGGTGTGGGGAGTGTCAAGCAGGAGAATATGCTTGAGGACCCCATGTTTTATGGGGGAGGCAGGGAGATGGGGAGGATGGGGCGACACACGGAGTTTGTGACTGGGGTGGATTGGTGTTTGTTTGGGGCGGAGGGTTGGTGTGCGAGTACCGGGTGGGATGAGAGAGTGCTTGTGTGGGATTGTAGAGCTGTTATGCAATAAATTCATCAATTGTTACAGGCGAAAGGCGGTGTTTCTGAGGTAGAGGCGATGCAGAAGCTGCGTAGTTGTATGATGAATGTGTAGTGAGTTGTGAATGTTACACCTCATGCATCTCGCCCCCTCTTGACATACTCATCCATCCAAAACACCGCCTGGAAAAACGCCTGTTCCTTTGCGAACCTCTCGTGATCATTTGCCAAATCTCCCTTTGTAGCGAATCCATGCTCGACTTGGGAGTACAGAAATATCTGATAAGGCACCTTTATCTCTTTAAGAATATCTTCTGTGAGATGGCGCTTTGCAGCAGGGAAAATATCATCATTTTCTGTTTCACGCATCTTAGCACTCGAACCTCTTTCTCAAGATCATCTATATGATACAAGGGGGAAGGAGAGGGGGGGTTTGTCTTACCTGCAGCAGCAATACTGAACGGCCGCGCCACACCCCTTACTTCCTCGGCCTCGACGAAACTCGGGTGCGCGACGAATCCCGCGTCCAGACCCCCTTCTTTCAACAACCTGCACACGTATTTGCCGCCGAAACAGTAGCCTACGCCGCCGAGTCGCTTGACGCCAAGCTCGCTGCGGAGATGCTTGATTACGGCTTCGTAGATGGGGTCGACGGTGGGTGGGCGCGGCATGGTGTTTTCGACCCAGTCCAGCAAGTTGAATGAAGGGGGCATGGGGAAGCGGATGTGGATGCCGTTGAAGACGTCTGGGATGACGACGAGGTAGCCGTTGGCCTGGTTGTTTGTTTGTTTGTTTAGCATTGAAAGACGCCAATTATATGTGTGTAGAAGAAACATACGGCGAATTGATCGGCTATGAGCTGGGTGTTGGGAAAGTCCATGCCTAGGGCGTCTGTCATGAGTACAATGGCATTTTCGGTGCTGCCGTCTTCGGGATAGGTAAAGTATGCGCGGACTTTTTGTTGATTAGTCTTGAGGGATTGATGGTCATGCAATGAGGAATTGGTTTACTGTTGCCGATTTGTTTGACACTGCCTTTGGGTGTGCCTTCATGCTTGACGCCGATAATACAGCATTTGCCCATTGGATTTGATGCCATTGTGATGCGTGTTTGTGACTAGAAAATTATAAAACAAAAAGAAGTGACGGTATCTCTGACGAATGTGAAGAATGTGCAGAATGAGCAAATATTTATATGACTGTTATCATCGTTGCTCGCCTTGGGTGCCAAACTAGGCTATGGGAGGCTTTGATCCGGATACCCGCAGTGGAGCGTGTAGCCATGAGTGACTAGGACTTCACGCCGGAAGGTACGCTTGCCGTTGATTCCCGTTCCGAATCCTGGATATGCCTGAGGTTGGATGATTTTAATTGGACGGATCCAGTCTTCCTCGGTTAATATGCTCCAAGGCAAGCAGGCAGACAGGCGTACGTCATATGTGGTTGCGAATAGGACGGTTGCCTCACTGCAAAGAAACTGGGAAGAAGACTGTGTAGGTATTTATGCTCATTATTTGACTATCGTAACTTTCGTAACCGAAAAAAAAACTTCTGTGAGGCATCTTGGACGTAGAGAGAAAAACTAGTGTTCATGACGCTTTTGTGCTGGCGTGTGTCAGCTCCGATATGGCATTCACAACGCATGTTTGCACCAGAGGCTTACATCTTGAGATTCATCGTATTCATTAAATAGAAACCAATTAGTGCCTGACCCGGCTGACACTTCTCCTGGTAATGCGTTCGTCGACGTAGCTGTCGCGTGGGTCTATATAGCTTGTTCTGGGCGTCCTGCGCTCAACATCTGTCACGCGGCGCCTCGACACGCTCCTTGCGCGAGTGGTGCTGCGACGTGGCTCCTCATAGTACTCGATGACTCGAGGTCGTGACCGTGATCTCCTGTATCAGATTGTCAGATTCTGGTGAGGCTAGTCACTGTAACGAATGGGAAATCTAGGTACCTACCTGTACTCAACGTAGCGACCATCGTCACTGATACTCTCTGTACGGCGCCATTCACGTGGCAAGCGCATGACACCGGCTGGCGGGTGTGAAGTGAAGTTTCCGCGTCGTGGAGGTGGCTCGATGACAGTGCGGCCACGCGTTTCATAAGTCCTCATGATACACATTGTGCTTGATTGATTATGGTGTCGTGATGGTATCTTGGTGGTAGATGAGTAAGTTGGCCGTGGGTGATGTTGAGGAGCGAGCGACACAAGTGTGCTTGGGGAAGCGATTGACAGATTTATAAGGCGTGTATAATTTGGGGAATGGAGCAGCAGAGTAATGTAGTAATACGATATAAATGTACACGGTAGTAAGCAGACGGTGCTCGAGGACACACAGTAAAATGACGTGCGCCAAGATACGCAGCCTGGGAAACTATTCCAAGGTTGTTGAGTCTGGTCGGTCTGGTCGGTCTGGCCAAATTGACCAGCCTCTTCTCCTCGCTGCACATGTACTCAGACACGGACATGGCATGGGTGGATCTAAGCGGTCTGGTCAGATTGCCTGGCATAATGCTGGTTCTGGCTTCAGCAACAGTGTGCGGGCTGTCATGGTCAGTGTCTCGTCGACGTCACCCGACGCGTCGTCGATGGCATAACCCGGCATTCTAGCCTGGTATGCACATAAGCAACTACTGCAGTTGGGAGAGAAACTATCTACGCTTTGGGCCTGTGATGCGTGATGATAATGATGATACAGAGGACAATGTAGTATATTATGTATAAGCTGTATTAACACTACGGGGCCTTTCTCACAATGCTTTAGCTCATGCAATAAACACTTAGCTGGATCAAAATATTAATCCTTTCATTTAAAGTAGGTGCTGGGAACGCGCTTCTTGACAGCGTCTGTCCCAGTACATTTTGCAAAGTAGATGAAACCACGTAGGTAAATGTCCCGTCTACAATGATTGTCATTGCCCGGCAAGCATGGTCCTTTGCACTCATTACATCTCCCTCTCTACTTTCAGAAACAGGTGATGAAATAGGAAGGCTGTTAGATTAGAGCTGTACTTGGTGATACGGTTACGGTCATGTGATGACGGAGTGATTGGTTGGAGCTGCTAGAGACCCCAGCTTCATTGAATGTAGTCACGTGATGAAACGGCCTTTGCAAATATACGCAGCTAGGGGGGTTCTCGACATCTAGCTAGAAAACAGTACGCTGTTTCGTCTAGCGAGAAGAAACTCTGTATGAGTCAATTCGGCGCCAAGCATATATTATTCGTGATATAAAGTCAATGAAGGAGGGTGAGGGGCGCGTGCATAGCCCTCAGGCTGAGTTGACAGCTGCACCCCCACCTGCCCCGCTACTCGCGGCTGGTCGACGCTTGAAACGTACCCAAGCACGTACGTTGGCGGTGACGAGGCAGAAGCCACCGCTGGCAATGTGATAGTGCCCATGTCCATTGTGAGAGAGAAACTCTGTCTTCTGCCGTCTTCATCCTCGCCATTGTCTCGCCAGCATTGCCTGTAGCAGCACATCGCCCGCCATGTCCCTCGTCTCAGGTACGCAGTACTCACATGCAGTGCAACACACCCGCTAATAAGCTTCCACTACCGCAGACGCCATATGGGCTGCCTCGCCTACAACCACGCGCGGACAGGCCACGCCCCTCTCATCCGACCCAAAGGGCGAGCGCATCGCCTATGCGGCATGTTTTGATCTTGCTCTCGCTCATGCGCTGCGAAGCTAATTGAGTGCTTACAGTCGGGCAAATCCATCTTTCTGCGATCCATTGACGATCCCGCCGTCAGCAAGCAGTACACCCAACACACCACACAGACAACCGTCGCCCGCTTCTCGCCCTCGGGCTTCTATGTCGCCAGCGGAGATGTGTCGGGCATGGTCAGGGTCTGGGATTGCGCCGGCGAGGGTGCAACAAAGGGCGAATACCCCATCATCGCCGGCCGCATCAACGACCTGGCCTGGGACGGTGACTCGCAGCGCATCATTGCCGTAGGCGACGGCAAGGAGCGCTTCGGCCACTGCATCACCGCTGACAGCGGTAACAGCGTGGGCGAGATCTCGGGCCATTCGTCGCAAATCAACTGTGTCTCCATCCGCCAGCAGCGCCCCCTACGCGCAGCCACCGGCTCCGACGACACAAGCCTCGTCTTCTACCACGGTGCTCCCTTCAAGTTCAACACTAGCCTGCGCGGGCAACACAACCGCTTCGTTTTCGGCACCGCCTTCTCGCCCGATGGCTCCGTATTCGCCAGTGTGGGCGCCGACAAGCGCATCTGGCTATACGACGGCAAGACTGGCGAGGCCAAGAACCAGATCGGTGAGGGAGTTCATACCGGTAGTATCTTTGGCATCTCCTGGTCCAAGGACTCGAATAGGTTCGTCACTGCTAGTGCTGACCAGACGGTACGCATCTGGGATCCCGAAGCCGGCAAGGCGATCCAGACGTGGAGGATGGGTGACGAAGGCGTTGTCAGTGTGCCTGACCAGCAGGTCGGCGTAGTCTGGCCCACGGGCCGCAGCGATGGTCTGATTGTCAGCGTCGATCTGGACGGGAACCTGAACTACCTCGTCGATGGCAACCCCAAGCCAACTCGCGTTATTCGGGGCCACCAGAAGAACATCACATCAGCTGCCATAGCAGGTTCGACCTTCGCCACCGGCAGCTACGAGGGGCGCGTTCTTGCATGGGACACGACAACAGGACTGGCCGACAAGGTCGACGGCGCAGCCCATACCAGCTATGTCGCTGGCATCACTACATCCGACAGCAGTAGCGGAAAGGAGCTCTACAGTGTCGGCTGGGACGACACCTTACGCTCCATTTCGGCACCAGAGAAGATCTTTACTGGAGAAGCGCATGACCTCAAGTTCCAGCCTAAGGGCGTTGCTGCGACATCCAGCACGGTGCTCATCCCTTCATCCGATGCCATTGCCGTCTACTCCAAGGGCACTCAAGTCAGCTCACTAGCAGTCAAGTACACGCCTACATCCATCGCCGCGCACGGAACTACTGTAGCCGTAGGTGGAGATGATAAGCTTGTGCACATCTACACGCTTTCAGGCACCGAGCTCAAGGACACCGAGACGGTTTTGCGCCGCGCCACTTCGCCCATCTCCGCGCTTGCCTTCTCGCAGTCAGGTAGCAAGCTTGCCGTCGGTGCAGCCAACGGCAAGATATATGCGTATGATGCAAGCGCAAGCTGGAATCTCATCACGGACAGATGGAGTGCCCACACTGCACGCATCACTTGCTTGGCTTGGGACGAGAGCGAAAAGTACGCAGCAAGTGGCAGTTTGGATACTAACGTCATGGTCTGGAGTACCGAGGATCCCGGTAAGCGTATCAAGGCTCTTAACGCCCACAAAGACGGTGTCAACGGTGTGGCATGGGAAAAGGCGACCAGGGTCATCTCAGCCGGCGGAGATGCAAGTGTCAAAGTCTGGACTGTCAAGGCATAAGTAGTTGCGCCATTACTTTGTCAAAAGATGCGGGCGGAAATCCGGCCAGGAATCTAAGCACACCCGGGTCGGTGATTGATCATGTTCTAGATGATGTGTTCAAGGCGGATTAACCTGCCTTTTTGAAGGACGCTCTGATACGGAGAGTGAAGCGGGAGATGTGGGTAGATGGCGGGGTTGAGGGCCCTTGCCCTTTGCGCTACTTGAATATACGTACGTAGTCTGATGGCCTATCATCTACATTCTCCACCCTCTCTTGTTCAATGCATGTTCCTTCTTCAGTCCGTGTCAGATTGCACGTTCGTGCCTGCGTATGGCTGGATAGTGGATGCGGCTGCTCAGCCGCTGTGCTACTCGTCAACGTAACGGCTCGTTTTATACTACAGCTGTCGACTGACTGTGACAGGCGCCAGTCAGCCCTGTTTGCCTGCTTTGCCTAATAGTTTCCGGTACGCCGCCGCCCAAAAGTTAATAGCGCATGCAAGCCAAGTAGAGGACCTGGGCCGCTGAAGGACCAACGAGGCAACTGTTGCCCTGTGAATTTCTGGCAATTATATGCTCTGCCTCATCGCTTCATTTTGTGCTGTTGAACCGAACTAGCCAGAGACAAAACTGCTTTTGCACATACTAGTCTTTCGTGGACAACTCTTTGGCCTCTGATCATCCTCATCTCCTGCCAATGGCAAACCCTCCATACTTCGATAGGAATAGCATGATGCACCACCCCCCAGATAGTAGCGGTCCTCGATATCTCAACGGCTCAAATGTCACTGAGCCTGATTCTCAATGGCCCGTTTTTCACCAAACCACTTCATCGCCAATGCTTCGAGGATACAATCAGCCGCCTTGCTCGTTTTCGGCTTCGTTGGAGCTTCCGGCCTCATTGCATCAGGCTGAATCACAATCTTGTCCCCGCATAACCCGCAATCCATCTACATCCAGTAGCTATGCTCAATTTCCGGTGAACAACAGTATGCGCCGATCGATATCGCAATTCTCCTCCATGTCTTCCAGTCAGCACGCACATGGCTACAACATGACCCAAGCGCCACGTGGTTCCTTCGACGGCTCACTACCCTTGGAAATGACTCGTTCTTACTCGAGCACTTCAGATAACCCGGAGACGGCAAATCAGTCGCCTTCAGTGCACTTGGCTTTGACGCCAGCCGACTGGCATACTGGTCAGCAATTCGCGTTCACACCAGAAGGTCTAAACCAATGCACCACAACTGGTCCCTCGACCCAATATCAGTATGAATTAGATGATAATTTTGGAATTGGAAACGGAAGCGGAGATCAATCTTTGGAATGGAAAACACATACCAACAAGTAAGTATGATCCACAATCCTCTTGCGTAAGATCACTAGCTACCGTCCATCGAATATGCCGAACTACGATTCGTACCTTGGGATTCAGTTGAATTACGCACTCCTTCCGTTTCCAATGGATGCGCTTGGCCGGACCTGGGCGTATGAATACCCTTGTTGTGGCCTTCACCATGGACCAAATATATCCTACCAGGACCACTACTTTCCCAGCCAATCATCCTTGGATTACACCATGGCACTGGACCAAATATCCCCACTGGCAGTTTTTAGTGATCTTCGACCCTATACATGGCCGTCCACCGAGTGACCCTGGCATAAAAACGTCGACATTTTAGCCTCAAAGGACTCTGATGGACCTGAAGACGATGATTCCGAAAGACGACACGCGTGGACCCAGCTTGTACACGATTCTGCTCCTGCGGCGAGCAACTGATTGAAAGCTGGGTACGGTTACAGAATTTGCTCTCCCTATATCGACACCTTCATTATCTTCTGAACTCGTCTCTGGAGCACAATCCTCTGATCATTGGACATATTTTTTTCGACTCTACAACTCGATATTCCAAACTTCCTGGGAACTTACCTACTTCCTAATCATTGAGATTCCATTGGATTTCACTTAAGACGCTTCTTGGAATCGTATGCGAAGCCGCCAACCGGCGTTCATTAATGTAAGATTTCTTCAGTTGTTATCATTCTCAACACACACGCTCAACCGAGCTATACGGTCATGAGATAATTAGACACTTATTGTTGAGCTAAACCATTGGCTGGTCATTTCCTTGGCGTTGTTCTTTTGCTGTTATTTTCTCTAGGCATTCAAGACTCTCAATCAGGACACCACGATTTTCCAGCAGAAACCAATTTCACACCGAGTAGAAGACATCTCACTTCTATACAACCGGTGGTATCAACACCCCATTCCAGAATGGAAATTCGGTGTTCTAAGAATTCTAATCTTCTATCTTTCGCTATCGACTCAGCATTCGATCCGACAGCATATAGGCTGCACCTCGGACTTTATCTCTCAATACCATCGCATATTGTCACCAGAATTGGCTATTCAGATCAACAATTTTCCAGTCGCAAAACCACTATGAAAGATGCCGAGTCTTTCTTCAATTTCTGGCCAGCAATCAGACGAACTTGTACTAACATCAGAACGTTAGATTTCCAAACCACTTTCACCCTTTCTCGCCAGATCAATCTCAATCGATAGGACCTTTCGGTCAAGATCTAGCTTACAATCAGTCAAAGTAGGTTGGGTATATCACCCTTCCTTCGAGTTTAACTGACATAATCAGTCCGCCGCCCCCGTCCCCTCATCACGATAGCATTCCCACATACCCTCAAGATAACATATCACCATGCAGTTCATCCACTGCCACACCAACAGTCGCCAAAACTGTTCAAAATACATTCATCTCACAACCTACCGAAGACGACCCTGTTATCGGCCAAGTGACCCTGAGTGGAAGATTCACGTGCCTAAGCAAAACATGTCGTGACGACGAAACCCTCACATTCAATCGCCACGCCGACTTCAAACGGCATTACACCAACATGCACGCGAGAAAATTGACGGAATACTTTTGTCCAGAAAAAGGATGCCATCGCTCAAGGCATCCCGCCGATGGGAAGAAAGGGCGAAGTTTCAAGGGACGAAGGGATAAGATGAAAGAGCATATGAAGACGGTGCATGATAATCGTGCTAGGAAAAGGAGGAGGGCTGACGAGAGCCAAGAAAAAGATGAAGATGAGGACCCTTTGGGGAGTGGTGGTGATGAGAAGTTGGGGTTCGAACGGTAAGGGGGCGATGTGGTATGCGGGCAAGGAGCGCTGTTGGATGTTCACTTCTTCTTCTTCTTCTTCTTTGTTTTTTTTAGTATTTCATATTGTTGTAGCATTCATTGTGGATATAGGTATTCTATTTCAATTTATAGGCATACTCCAATGATAATACCGTTGTTTCACATGACAGGAAGACTATGTCAGAAGTGATAAAGCTACTCCCCTGTACGAGATACCTTGTAGTATGCGGATTGGGAGCCATTCTCGGCCGAGTTTTGCGCTCAGTGTGCGGCTCCGACAGGGAAATCTTGGGCATTTATGTAGCCAGTGGCTCGTCACACACTGTAGCGGAGAATTGAGGAGATAGGAAGAGGCAAGGTGGGGCGAGGGCGGGGCTGATTAGTTGATGGCAGATAACATCATCCGAGACAGGCAGGGATGTCGGCACATTTTATATCACCGTTCTCAAACAGGCATTCCCGATGTACTCAACTCAAGAAATCAATACGACTATTTTGACAAAAAAAAAGCTGCTTCCAAATTTGAGAAAATATCAAAATCAATTTGCGGGACCATTAGGCACAACCGACTTGTAACCAGACGCTGGAAACAACCCACACGCTCATTTCAATGTCATCGCCTAAGACTCAGCTCCAACAAGGAACAGTCGTAGGCACTGTCTTACACGGAAAATACCCTCGTGCAGTTGAGGCATTCAGAGGCATACCATATGCGTTACCACCGACAGGTGACCGTCGATTCAGGCCACCAGAAAAAGTAGGAAAAGGCGAGGGGATTATAGATGCAACAAAGTTTGGACCCAGGGCTCCTGCACAGCAGTTCATCAAATTAGGGCCAATATTAGAAGAGAGCGAAGATTGTCTGACGGTGAATGTGTTCCGTCAAGCGGGAACTGAACAGTCTACAGGGCTGCCAGTTGCGGTTTACTTACATGGAGGGGCTTTTAATCGCGGGAATGCGGCTATGCATGACACTGCTTCAATGGTTGGGTGGTCCGAGAAGCCGTTCATCGCAGTCTCGTTTGGATATCGAGTTGGGGCTTTGGGCTTCCTCCCATCGAAGCTCAGCGCTAAAGAGGGTGTGCTCAATTTAGGCTTGAAAGATCAAATATGCTTGTTCGACTGGGTTGAGGAGAATATTGGAGCCTTTGGGGGCGACAAGAACTGCGTCACTCTTATAGGTCTCTCAGCGGGTGCACACTCGGTATGTACAACCATTTCTCTCTGACTGCTCATTTGCTCATGCTATGCAGATTGGCCACCATCTACTCAACTACGAAGAGTGCAAAGCACCAAAATTCCATCGAGTCATTATAGAATCGGGCGCCCCAACATCTCGCGCCGTCCGTAACCCAGATGCGGAAATCCACGAGATGCAATTCCAAGACTTCCTAAAAGAAGTCGAATGTCCCCCATCACTCCTCGAGTCCGAAATATTCACCTATCTTCGTAAACTCCCCACCTCTGCCATCGCCAAAGCCCAAACCAAAGTATTCCAAAAGTACAACCCCAGTCTCCGTTGGGCATTCCAACCCGTAATCGACAACGAAATCATCCGCAGCCGCCCCATCGACGCCTGGCGCAACAACCGCTGGCACAAGCTCCCCATAATGACGGGCTTCCAAGGCAACGAAGGCTCTCTCTACGTAAACAAATCCATGTCCACCTCCTCCGAATTTCTCTCCTTCTGGAAAACCCTCTTACCACAACTAAGCACCGATGACATTGACACTATAGACAAGCTCTACCCAGACCCGACCTCCAATCCCACCTCCCCCTACAAAGAAGACCGACTGCACCTCGGAGTCGGACCAATGTACAAGCGCATCGAAGCCGCATACGCAGATTACGCATATGTAGCCCCCGTGCGCCAAACCGCCCATTTCACTAGTCCCGACGTACCTGTATACCTCTACCACTGGGCCATGCGCCGCGACATCATCGACGGCGCTCGCCACGCCGACAACATGTTCTACGAGGTCCGCGATCAGAATATCTGCTCGCAGTTGAAATCGCAAGACGAGCTCTCGGGGATTCTGCATGCGTATGTTACGAGTTTTATATGTACGGGGTGTCCGAATGAGATCAAAGGACAGTTTGGAGGCAGGCCGGAGTGGGAGAGGTATCAGAGGGGGGAGGGGAGGGTTATGGTGTTTGGGAGGGGGAATACAGAGTTGGTTGGGGGAGATGAGGTTGGGGTGCTAGCGGGGATGGAGGGGGATGAGTATGCGGTGGTGGAGAGTGAGTTTTGGTGGTCGAAGGTGGAGCTGTCGCAGCAGTAGGGGTGATTTTGGGTAGTTGCTTAGATGTGCTACTGAAGTTTGATAGTTGTTGTTGGAATAGGTTTGCTGGTAGTTTTTTCTACATTTAGACTACCACCTCCCACCCATATTTTCTCAGGTCAACTCTACATTTATCGAGCGATCATTTCATTCCTCAATTTTTGTCATGTTGTACGACAATAATGCAAGTAAGTCGCGATTCCAAAGTCTTGGCAAGATATGTTATCGGATGTTTATGTACCGCCGGGGAAGACTTCCGATAGAGAACTGGGTATCTCTGATACGGTTGTTTCCCTAAAAGTGGGCCGACCTTGATAGGACGATGTAGCCAAGACGCTACCAATCACAAGGTATGGGAAGTATCACTCGAATCATCTTCTTGAGCAGTCACACTAACGCTATCCGAATTACCCATACAGGTTTTTGACATTGCAAATGGTTCGGCTATCTTAACCGAAGGTACGCTGTGCAGAAAGACGACTTCTGCAGTCCGTACGTACACTACCCATGGCTCAACCTTGTAGCACCCCACATCCTCCAACAGTGTTTTTGGAAATGATGTCGCATTTGCTTCGAGTGCAACATTCCTGCGATAACGAGATAGGAAGGAACTACGGTTGACATGTGGTTGCGATGTAACCAGAACCACGGATGAGGTCCATCCAATATCTTTTTTATCATCTGGTATCTTTGCTGGCATATCGCGCAACAAGTCGCACCAAGGATCATTCGGTCCTGCGTGCTCCAAGACGTGTGCAATAATCGTATCCCCACCACCATATAAGTCATTTATCCAGCTCTCCACGCTTGCAAACTCATCTCTAATCTGTGATTTTCCAATAGCAACCATGCAAATCACCACCGAGTTTCCCAAGGAGGAGAGAAAGGAATTCGCCATGTCAAAAGACATCGAGCTCCAACAACCCCACGCTTTCGGCAGCGACTCTCTACACAAGAAAGAAAGCGAGCTCAAAGGCCAAGCCGGAGATCTCGATGAAGCAAACATATTTCTAAGACAGCACAACATTACACCAGACTACATAGCCCAACTACTTGATGACGAAGCAGCCAACAAGCGTGTATCCCGGAAAGTCGACCTGCGACTACTCCCGCTACTATGCGGGACCTACTTCCTCCAATTCATCGACAAGCAAGCGATCAGCTACGCCGCTGTCTTCGATCTCTTCGAGACAACCGGCATCACCGGCGCACAGTACTCGTGGCTCGGCTCCATCTTCTACTTCGCCTACCTGGTCGCTGAATGGCCGTCCGCATATCTCGCTCAGCACTTCCCGACCGCCCGCGTGGTGTCCACCTACTGCTTCTGCTGGGGCTCCATTATGCTGATTACCGCTGCGACGAATAACTTTGCGGGGTTTGCAGCGATGCGGTTTTTACTAGGGATTTTTGAGTCTGTTGTTACGCCGGCGTTTATGATGGTGAGTCCCCCCCCCCCCCCCCCCAAACATCCCGAACTACCCAACCCCCAGAATATACAACTAACGTGGAGTGTTTTTTGTTGGTGCATAGATCGTAGGTATGTGGTACATGGGCAACCAGCAACCCGCTCGCGCAGGCATGTTCTACTGCTTCAACGGCATGGGATCCGCCATCGGCGGCATCCTGTTCTACGGCGTCGGCTACGCGAAGACTTTTACCGTCTGGAAAATCATATATTTGATCTGTGGCAGTATGACGGTGCTCTGGTCGTTACTGCTCTTCTTTAAACTCCCCGACAACATCATGTCCGCGAAGAACTTTTCCGTGGAGGAGAAAGCGCTGCTGATTGCGCGCGCGGCCAAGAATCGCACTGGTGTGTATAATCGGACTATCAAGCCGCGCCAGGTTCTCGAGGCTTTGACGGATGCGCAGATTTGGTTACTTTTCGTTTATGTACTCTTGAATGAGGTTATCAATGGCGGGTTGGCCAACTTTGGTAAGCTGATTCTCAAAGACGTGGCTGGTGGCGATCCGCTGCGTACGACGCTGTACGGAATTCCGGCGGGCTTTGCACAGGTGTTTTGGGTCTTTACGGGCCCGTTTCTTGCGTCTCGTCTGCCGAATGCGCGTACGTATATGATGGCGCTTTACCTGTGTCCTACTATTATCGGGACTACGTTGATATGGCAGTTGCCGCGGACGAATCTGGCAGGGTGTCTTGCGGGCTACTATTTGGTATGTATTCAACCTATTTTGCGGGTAAGCAGACCGACTTTTTGCTAAGAGTATCACTCAGGTTGGCTCGTATGTTGGCGGACTAGTCATCGCACTTCAGTTTCCCGCGTCTAATGTTGCCGGATACACGAAGAGGACGACAGGAACGGCGTTTGTTTTTCTGGCATATTGTATTGGTAATATCATTGGTAAGTCCCACTGCAAGTCCGGAACCCTGTCACATTCTCATATTGACATGATGAAACTTTTAGGACCCCAAGCCTTCCTAGCCAAAGAAGCCCCCATCTACGAAACAGGCGTCAGGACAACCTTAGCTTGCGCAGTCGCCCAGTTCTTCCTCGCATTCACCATACGCGCATTGCTTGTGCGACGAAACGCCCAGCGCGACCGCGAAGAAACTGAAAGCCACCAGGGTAGTACTGCCAGTGATATGGGCATCATTGAGGATGCTACTGACTTTCATAATCGAAAGTTTCGGTACAGACTGTAGATGGGATATGTCCTGTAGATATTGCTCTAATGATTCATTTATACACTCTGCGCATGATTATCGCACCTTGGATAAGTGTCTTCACATTTATCAAAAAATCATAGCAATGTGTCTGCTAGGGCGTCAACATCACGACCTCTTTCACAACGCTATCCCAACCTTTGCCCATTTCCCATATCTCTCAGATCTATAACGCAACCTTTTTCAACCACTCTAGCTTCTCAATAACTCAACCCAAGTTTCACCTCCAGATCCGCCTCAAACTGTCAGTCAAAAAAGTCATCTATGAACGTAGTCTCTCGCGAGACATTGGTACAACTACAAAACGACTTCTTAGCGCGTCTATACGGATTTTAAGAGTAGCGTTACGGGTCAAACGGGGACGAGGAAACTCGTCGCCCAACTAACATTTTAAACGTGGATTGACGCGTACGTAGAGTTGAATGGCTGGCAAGATATTTTTTGCGGCAGTGGAAGCGGCCTTGATCATTCTGGATTAGTAGTCTCGGTGTTTATGTGTGTGGAAATGTTATCATTGTTTTAGGAATTGTATCGATTCCGATTTCGCGAGTTTGATATTGGTATTGATGATAGGCTGATAGAGACAAGATTTGGGCAACGCGTTTCTTTCTTTGCAAGTTCAATGTCGATGCCAACGATAAATTAGTACGCACATATCTTTGGCGGTGGCGGTGGGCGCGTTACGAGAATTCGCAGGAGCGTGTATTTTCGTTTTGGACGAGAAATTATTCGAAGTCCCATGGGTGAATGTTCTTTAGACTTAATCTGGTACTGCTTTGACTAGATCATCAAAGCGAATATTACCATCTACGAATGCAAAGTCGACTCCGCATCAGATCTAGTGTCTGAGAAAGTAAACAATATATACTTCATCATTTACCGCCGACAGGTGTGATGATGCACTCTGTGGACAAAGGTATGCGATACGTCATCAGAGCTATTTTTCATTAGCATGAATAGATGTCAGGAGGTTGATACAACCATATACATAGAAATTTATAAACCCGTTCGAAATTTGATAGGTATACTTGAAAGACTGTCGCGAAAGAGAAATCCTCCCAAAGTTCGGTACAGCAAATGATGGGACCACCCAGTTAATACAAGTATATCTGCCAAACACATCCTTCCCCCCAAAACCTATAATATACCAATGAGATCGCTTACAATCGATCCGAGATTACCTTTTTGATCACTTCCAATGTTCCTACCCACTGGGCACGCGACCTGCTTTTCCAAACTAGCAAGCCCATGAGCCCAACAACCACACTACAAGGTACCGCTTTCTTGGCAAACCTTATCGCAACGTGCTTAAAGAACATATTCTGCTTTTGCCTCACCCGCTTCACATGCTCTCCTCTCTTGTTCTTCGTGGGAAATGGAGCCCCAGGTACGTCTTTGTCAAGAAACTCGCATAGTGGCTCCCAGCCATCTTCCAAGCGGAACTCAAGCAATCGTTCCTTGGGCACTGCAGCCCGAATCTCAGCATAGTGTTGCTTGTACCGGTCCTTGGCTACTCGGCGCATGTCATGCACGTTTCGCACACCATAATATCCCAACATCATTTTGCGAATCGTCTTGCCGCCAGTCAGCCCGTACAGCGGTCCCAGTACGTTGATAATTAGATCCGCACGCAGTCCCCATGTGGTGCTGAAAATGGCCTCTTCCATACTATCGTACCATGCATCAATATCGCGCTCTACCAGGATCACCTTCGCTTCTGGGTACGCCTCGATGAGCTGCGGCGCGAAGAAGGAGCCCAGATCGGTGACGGCTTCGTAGGGTCCAAAGACGATGTCCCAGTCAGCGCGTGTAAAGGGTGCTCCGGTGTATGTCGGAAGAATAGGAAAGAAAGAGTCGCAGGCTTTGTTGAAAAGCTGCCACTCAAGAGGCGAGTTGAGTGCTTGGATACCATGGTGCACGCCTTGGTATCCCAACATCTCAAGGGCTTGGGTTATCGAGGCAGAACCTGTTTTTACATGTCCACATTGGTCAGTTCATCGTATTGCCTATGCAGTATAGCACTTGAGGTGAAGGATTGGCGGGACTCACCCGTACGTGTCATGCCTAATGACAACACCTTCAACTCTCGCTTAGGGCGATCGATATCGGAAGTTGGTTTCGCCATTGCTAGGGAATTAGTTGTTTTGGTCACACGAAATATCTCAGGAAAAGTGTTTGAATGGTAATGAGACTGGGTTGAACGCCACTTTCAAGACCCGTGATAACGACGAAAAACCATTCTTTGCCGTTCTCCCATCACTGCAGACTGTAGGTAGTCATGTCTGAGTAGCCCATCTACCAGAACATCAACCACGTGGTTGAAAGAGTGGCAGCCAGTCTCTCGTTGATTCAAGTAACCTTAAACTGCCAAAGAATAGCCACGTTAGTCGATCTGAGCCATCACTGACTGAATCTTGGGTTGGTCATGCTCGGTCAACTACCCTTCGGGCCGAGTTGTGAGGGCACTGCAAACTTATCGGGAAACTTGGCCGCGACTTCAAACACGCGACAGATGACTCGTAAATCGCCATTCAATTAATCGAGCAAACCAACTCGAACTTGTTTCGCGCTGCACAGCGGTCTAGTAGTGGAGACGATACTCGCGTCACAGTTTTACTTGTACCTCAATGGGTAGGAGACTATTACGAAAATACTCTATTAAGCAACGGGATGAAGCGTAGTTCTAGGGTATGGGGACAAGGAGTCGAGTGGAGTTTGGGGAGACATCCTGCAGATTTACCCTACACCCTTGGCTAATGCTTCTCCGCGGATTGAAATCTCCTTTTTGATTTGTTAGCTGCGTTTCACACTTGCATTTGTTCAATGTATCAGACGCTAAAAGGTCTTGGCGAGACTGGGTGTCGCCGCTTCTATCATCAAAGGACGGGCAACGATGGAAAAATCCGTTTTGTCCACAAGACTTGCCACTAGCTATCAGGAGGGTATGATGAGTAAGAGTCGCCGCAAACCAGCCTTGCCTGTTGCAGTCACGGTTTCATACTTGGAACCAAGTTAGACATTCGATGCCAGCTTGCCATAGTGTGTTGAAGTGTAAGGTGCCACATACCTAACAAGTTCTTGTCACAATCAAGTAGGTAATGCTTAATGTCTGCAGTAAGAGTTGGAAAAGGTCTTCGTGTATCAGCTTGACTCGTAGTCTGCGACTGATTTTTGCAGTGTTGTCTCGAGATTAGAGACAAGAAGGCGCGATAGTAAAACAGCCGACAGATCGATATACACCGACTAAGGAAGAGAATTTCGTCCGATATGCAGCATTCTGCACGTCGAAACTGATCCGCCCGAAGTAGCTGTACAACACGCGCACTATTAGTCTGTGGTCATACACTGAAAGTAACGATGCGAAAAGGACGCCTATTTGCGCAAGGATGGCGAGCCAATTGAGACAAGTTGAGAAGCACGTGGGGGACTAGAACACTACTCTACCTTGCGTGCATATTTGAGACAAGCATTCCCGGTGACGATCTTCGCTGAAGCGAGATGCTTGTGCGGAAAATCAAGCAAATTACTTCCAGGGGCCCGGATTGTGGAGCTTAGAGTCGCGATACGAATACGCGGTTAGCGGATTCGGTCCGACCTTGGTCGTGGTCGTGCGTCTTTGGTCATGGCCATGACTCGAGGTATGGCGTCTGTATCGCTCACAGGCAAATGAAGAGGAAAGTGTGCAAAAATGGTGTGAGACGGTATTCATCGCCGATGCTGTAGTGCGGGCAGAACTGCGAGCGATTTGAGAGATTGAATTTCAATTACTGCCGAAGCTATTACAAGCCATTCAAAGTTGGATGATAAAATAGCTAATCAGCAATTGTTTTTCCGTACATTTGAAAAAAGGCAATGTAGTGATGGTGATATAGTTTTCTTAAACACAGGGATTCAATCCAATTCAGAATATAGCCAGGCAATGTTGAAATGAAGTGATAACCTGCGTGACCAGCTTTTGATGTCTGGAAAAAACTCAAAATCGACACTATTCGATGGCAACCCTCAGCCTGCAGCTGACCGCTGCATCTCTAGCCACAGGACTTCCAGGACTACACACAATGGTGAAGTTGTGCCAGTCTCGCTCCAAATCAATGTCCAGGCCCTCGATGGCGTCGTATCTCTGTACCATTCGAACTACCACATATCCAGCCTCTGTGAGTGCAAACTGCTGCCCAATGCATATACGTGGTCCGCCGTTGAAAGGGACGTACTGCCAAGTCATTCCAGGCCGCTTCTTTTCCCACCGCTCAGGCACGAACTCATCTGCATCGTCACCCCACAAATCTTTCCGTCGGTGAAGTACATGTGTGCTGAAATTGACCTCTGTCCCTTTAGGCACAAAGATGGGCATGTTTCCATCCTGACCCCCGCCAGTAGGAAGCACCGTATCTCGTACGGCGCAACGCGAGTTGAAAGGTACAACTGAGTGTAGGCGTAAAGTTTCGTTCAAGACGTATTGAAGATATGAACATCCTTTGAGTTTCTCAAATGTTATACTTTGCCCTACCGTACTTGAGTAAGGACCAAAAGTCTCGAGAATGGTTTCGCGTAGCTTTGCGTATATCCGTGGATTTCGCACGAGACAGTAGAAGACCCAAGCGGTAAGGGATGCCGTTGTATCCCTGCCAGCGGCTAAGAGCCCCAGGACTTGTTCACGTACTTCGGCGCGGTCAGAGCAGCAGGCACGCAGTGACTCCAAGAAGTCGTAGCGGAGCTTGGAGGATCGTTGCTCTCGAGACTGATCAGCCGCATCGATGGCGTTGTCGACAAATTTGTGGAGTGTCTGAATGCATTGGCTTAACTCTTTGTTTCCGTATAACCAATAGAGACTTCGCAGCCGCATTCTTGTTCCCAAGATGCTCAGCATACGCTCAAAAGCATGACCAAAGTCGTCTTCCTCATGCTGAATCTGTCCGTCTCCTCGGTGTTGATTGGAGAGAAGTAATTTCAGAGAGTGGGTACTATGACCAAGAAACAGCTCTGTTGCTGAGTCCATGGTAAGACGCGGCAACAAGGTAGCCAGGCTTACAGGCGCAGACCATGCTCGGCCATCGTCGTCAACCATAGATCCTTGTTTTTTCGACTCAATGATCTGAAACATTGTTTGGACATGCTCCTCGAGTAAATCAAGCCTGGAAATATTATCTCTGGCGAAGATAGGTCGCATAGCCTCGCGGGATCGATGCCACGCCTTGCCGTCTACGGCAAAGATGCTTCGTCCAAGTGCTGTCTTCAGGTTTGTTCTTCTCGCCGTGCCCATGATGAAATCTCCAAACTGTGTTGCGAGTATTGCTTGTACATTGCGCGGCTCGGCAGTAATGAAATTTGATGTGCCTAACAGCGACATCCCCCAAGTATAACGGCCCATTGATTCGAAGCGGGCAGTCACAAAGTCAGGTATCCTTTGCTCTCTATCAGCTTGTAAACCGCGGCGGACTAAATCAATTCCAAGAGGCCATCGTGTCAGCTCGAAAGGCACCGGGCCACAACCGAGCCGGCGGGCTTTGATGAAATATCGTAGTGGCTTGATCAGAGTGGCATTGATGATGCATAACAGAAGAGAGATACAAGTCCCTGGAATCAGATAATCCCGCAACATTTCGGATGCGTTGTGGTGGCGTGTTCTGAAGAAGTGGTCGTTTGGATGAGTTGAGCACTTTAGGAGCTTTAAGTATGGCAGTCGGCCACGCAGGTTTCACAGCATGTCTTTTTCACGTGCGTGACACTAAACAAGGGGGTGGTGTCCACCCAAGGTGTTCGATCGTATGCTAAATCTTGGTCACTAAACCTTTAGGGGAGAAAAGTGGAGGTTTTAATAGTAGTCTCTCCGCTGACCGAGAACGATACCAGAGTATTTTTTGATTGCAGTGTGGCCATATCTACTCCGATTCGCTCTCCCATCGACACTATATCAACATTTTCATGATAGAAACTACTTCAGAAATCTTTCCCACCGCCCCTATTGATCGAAATCAGGCACAGGCGTCAGGTCAACAAACAGAGGTAGCTTTTCCCACACCAGATAAGTTCCTTGACTGTTCCACCAGTCGTTGTCAGGATCATGCAGCTCCCAGTCAAAATATCGCACAAGTTTCTGAAGGCGGGAGTTAGCAGTTTTGCTTTACAGGAAGTGTTTGGAAGATAGCAAACGTACCGCCATGGTGAGTGACATCTCAGCATAGGCCATACTGCAGTAGCCATAATAGTCAGCACATATCTCCAAGCCATTTTCTTTTCCGCTTGTACTTACGATCGTCCAATGCAGGCCCTTTGTCCATACGAGAATGGTTGAACAGCAGAACGGTCGTCATTCTGAAACTCTGAGTCTGGCTCATCGAGCCATCGCTCTGGGTGGAACTCGCGTGCACGTTTGAAGTTGTGCTCTGAGTGCCCAGCCGCCAACTGGTTGACACCTACAGCATAGCCACCTGGAACCCATTTCCCCTCTATCACCTCACCTTTTCCAGGAACAAATCGTGGCAGCGACCCTGGAGTAGGCGGGTAGAGGCGCATGCCCTCGTTAAGACAAGCGCGCAGATATTTGCAGCTAGTGACTGCCTGCATCGTCATATCACTGCGCTTTTTGAATTGGCCACGAATTTCTCGCTTGAGTTTTTCAAGTTTATCTGGGTTACGCAGGAGCAGGTATGTTAAGCCAGACATACCACCAGCAGATGTGCCACTGCCGGCCACGATGAAGTTGGATGAAAGCATCACTAACTCGAGGTGATTGAGCTTCTCGTCATTCTCGAGGATGTAAGACCTGTTGGGTGCAGTTGTCAGCACTTCATCGATGATCTGATGCAAATCGGTTATAAGAGGATTACTTACATGAAATCCTTGCCAGGATTCTTGGCTTCAACCCGCGCTTTCAATTTCGCCTCAGTCATTGCGATGTGCTTCTTTCTTGATTCGACAACATATTTTGGCGTCAACCAGTTCAGAAGGTCCATAAAACCGTACTGTACGGCAAGCTGAAACCAGACAATGGCTTTGGCACGAGCCAGAATTGCTTGTATCCATGGTTGGTCGGGATTGTTGACACATCCTGACGGTTCGCCAAATGCCAGATCCGATACGATATCGAATGCCACAAGGTTGTACCATGTCGTCATGTCGAGTGGTTCCTTCTTACATCGTTGATACAGCTTTTCGATAAGATTATCTGAGTGGTCTTGGAAGTAGTTTTCCTGTTCGCGTCTAGTTTTTGAGAAGAAACATCAGTATGAAGCTGTTACACCAAGCTGAACAACACGAAAGGATTCGACGTACAGTGCTCTTTGGCTAAACGCAGGGTCTATGGCTCTTCTTAACCTTAGATGTCTATCTTGATGCTCCGTCATCAAGCTACGCTGGCCACCAATGCTCGCTGGAGCGATGCCTCTGCCATCTAGAGCTTTGACAAACTCTGGGTTTCGTTGTCCGTATATCTTTTTCCACGCTCCCGATGTCGTATACGAGAGTTCATCAGGAGCAATTCGTACAACGGGGCCATACTGATCATGGAGCTCACGTATTTTCCAGCTGATTCTCCCTTTCATATTGAAGTAATTCCATAGCAGGCGAGAGAGAGCCCAGAGCTTTGGTCCAGGATAGCCAGCTAAAGGACTCAGATAGAGATTGTAAACTACTTTTCCCGTAACATGAAGTAAAACCTGACCAATACTGTAAGGTGGAGTGAGTAATGTTTCTAAGATTGTAACTTACGAAAACGAGAATACCAGTGATGATATTGCGAAATGTGAATAGTGGTGCTTGGGTGAATTGATACCCAGCACTGTCCAACACCGATGCGCTTGTCATTTTGTTCTTGAACAAGAGATGTCCGATTGACTGAAAACCTGGAATGCTTCCAGCTCAGCAATTGAAAGAAAATGAACACAAGCAATCGAACGACCTACAACGGCGGGTTCAGCTCGAACGGGTCTAGGGACGCGGAATACATTCTCCTTGCAATTTTCAGCTTCTTCTTTCGATAATCGATAAATCCGAGTATTGCAGAACACATTAAGCCAATCAAAAATTCACAATTGTACACGCCCTCGCAACCTGTGTAAGTCTAGTAAACACTGGAGACGCTAGGAAATAGTGGTAACCGTCTCGGAGAATTAATTCGGCCCTTGGTGATCGGACCGATCTTTGCCCCGAGCGTGACGTGCAGACCGTTGCGACCGAAGACATGGTTTCTGTGTAGTCTGGTTTTAGTGCGCAACGAGAATGTGGGGATGAGATAGTGGATTAATTTGATTGGAAATCCAATCATAGGTATCGGCTCTAACCACGTGGTAGAGGACCAGTGAAGTATTACCCCTATGACTCGCATGAAGATGTAAATCCATACCCTAAGCGGTAATACAACGATAATAATACCACGTTGTGAAAACGGTCCTATCGTTAGAAGTTTTTCAATGCTTGGATGTTTAGACCCCAACAAGCAATGCGCTCGGCCTTTGCCTATGCATGCAAACCATGTGCTATGTTGCAGTATGTCGCAATCGGATATCTGCATCCGTCCCTTGTTTTCGTAATCGACCATCGTCATGCGATGTAAAGTAGCTTCTCAGGATGCATTCTTCGTCGGCATAGTCATTGTATAATTGTCAACAATCAGTATTCCCACTCTGTGTTTGTTGATTTATAAGTCATCGACGGGTTCTTCCAGAAGCCAGTGATGCCATATCCAAGATGGGTAGCGAAAACGAGCACAAAACTCTTGCCTCATTGGGGGAGACTATTCGTTTGGACCTTCAGCAGAGGCTCTCAAGCAGGGCACAAATATACCTACCGTTCGATGCAGATAGAACGCAGTTTGACAAGGCTGATTTGCGATTCACTCAGTATTCGCGTCCAACATACCTCGCCATTGTCGATCCAGGTTGTCAAAATGACGTAATCGAGGTTGTCAAGTACGCCCGAGAAAAGAATATTCCATTCACACCTCGAGGTGGCCACCATGCTGTCACTAGTACCGTGAGACATTTCAAAAACGGGATATGCATCAATATGCGACCACTCAATAAGATGCAATGGAACGCAGAGAAGCGACACGTCACCATCGAGGGAGGCGTAATAACGGATGAGTTTGTCAAATACCTGCATGATTTGGGTATGGAAGTGAGTAAGTATAGTACGCTATTCTCATCGGAAACCATGGCTGACAGCATGCAAAGATGTGGGATCATGTCCTACTACTGGTGTTATTGGCGTAGCATTTGGCGCTGGTTTAGGACGTTTGCAGGGCAAGTATGGCTTTCTACATGACAACATGGTGTCTTGTAAGCTTTTACTTGCCGACGGACGTGTGGTCATGGCTTCAGAAACCTCCAATCCAGATTTGTTCTGGGGTATCAGGGGAGCAGGCCACAACTTTGGAATTGCACTTGAGGCTACATTTCAAGTATACCTACAGGCACACGGCGGCATACATCACACATGGGACTTCGAGTACACTCTAGGTCAGTGCGATGACGTGTTCAAAACACTGAACAGTGTTTCTGAGACCATGCCTGCTGACTTGGCAATCTTTGTTCTATGGCTACGACAGAGTGATGGCCGCAAGGTATTTAGTCCCATCTCCTACATCTCGGGATCTAACTAAGCCTTACCAGCACATCATCCTCATTAATTTGGTATGGTCTGGACCATTGCTAAGCGCAGACCCTTACGTGAAACTCTTTGAGAACTTGGACCCTGTTCTCCACAGTGGACAAAAATCTGTGCCCTGGCCAGAATTGCCATTCTCCACTTACAAGGAAATGAACAAGCTTTACTGCAAACCGGAAGTTTGGCTTAAAGGCCCCAACAAAATGATGGGCGCCGCTTGTGTGGAGTCATTTGACTTGAAGACCACACGCGAGTTTTTTGAGAGTGTCAAAGCTATGAGCGAAGAGTGGGAAGGACGGGGCTGGTTTGGTGCAATGTTCGAGTGTTTGCCAGACCAGCGCGTGCGAGAAATAGCTCCTGATGCGACAGCGTTTCCATGGCGCGGAGGATCAAACCATTTCCTGTAAACCAACTGCATTAATCTGTATTCGACCAAAGGCTAACATGAGATACTAGGATGTTAAACGCCACACCGGCCCGGATAGAGGATCGACAAGCTTTCGAGAACCATCTTGATTATTGGAAACAGCGCTTCATCGAGAAATCTGGGTACGGACGCTTGCAGCAATATGTTAACTATGGAAACAGCACGGCCACCATGAAAGACCCTCTCGAGGCACTATATGGCTATGAGCCGTGGAGACTAGAGAGACTCAGATACCTCAAACAAAAGTATGATCCAGACAACCAGTTCAGATGGTACCAACCAATAGTTGATGCATGATCATTACTCTTCCAGATTTTATGCTACTTCTGTCACACAGTATGAAGCTTAAAGCATTGGCAATCTATGATGCTTGGAGAAGACAATGGCAATTAATTGATCTTGCAATAATAGACTTAGTTTCACTCTGTGACCATTCTGTCTGAGATAAGCAGTTGAAAATCTATTAACACTGAGACATCTTCACAACTCGAAGAGGAAATGAGGGACCCATCATGTAAACAGCGGCTTATAGAATGCTGCTGTTGATTCGGTTCAATTGAAAGATTGACAAGCCAATTGCGGATATAGTGCCGACCGAAACTCGTGGAATGAAGCGATTCATGTCAAGTTTGATTTGCCTAGCAGCTCCACATATGCTCTTACCTGATATTGATGTGGGCACCGGAAACAAGGGCCAATTTTTTGCGATTCATGCAGCCGATTCTGAGAATTCTCCGAAATAAGGGCCTTGAGTGGTCTGAGATAACCTTGCTAAAAGTGGGGGCGACGGAAGTAACATCTTTGAGACTAATGTTCTGATATGGTCTTTATCGCTTCATCGTCGGGAGAAGCTATCCCGAGACTGTGATTGGTTTGACAATATAGTCCTTCAAGCGGGCGTCAGACTCAGCAATCTTACAATCCAACAGGAATATCTAAATCCAGAGTCAACACTATTGTATTTTGCTCAAGATAGTCGTATTCGTGCGTTGTGAAATCGGTGCATACTCCAAAACCACGCAAGTTCCGTTTCATGACTCACGGCAGTGGACAACCGATGTTGCATTGTGGAGTAGTTCGAAAAAGGAAACTTTTGTAAAAGGTCTGGCTCCATAACCGGAGAACCCACTTTCTATGGGTTCTGTAAACGCGGGGCGAATGATCCCTACAGGCGTATAGTCCGACACCGGTGCTATCCTGCGTGCTCACACCCTGAGATTACATTGGATGGTTTTGGTAGTTGTGATTCACCGGCACCATCTGTTTTCTGCACGCTCAAGGGATAACGGTGTAGTATCAGACAGCTGCCGTTTGATACTAGGGCAACACGTGAATCATGTTGAGTAGACATTGATCGAAGACCTGATAACTATATTTAAAGAGAGTCTTCCACATTGATTTGCAAATATCGAGTTCTTCTCGAAATATCACTTCTTCAAGCGGCCTTGTACAACACGAATTGCTTTTCATTAAGCAAGCCTCACCTTCTTCCTTTACCACACTTCACAAGATGAATAGGCCAATTGCCGTTATCGGAATTGCCTTTAGGGGTCCTGGTGATGCTCGAGACCCCGAGGCTTTCTATCGTATGCTCGTCGAGGGCCGCAGTGCACGCACTGAGATTCCAAAAGATCGATACAACGTCGATGCATTCTATCACCCTGACCCAGAAAGATTAGGCAGCATCCAGCAAAGGTCCTTTACCTGTATCCCTTAACGACATACAATTTTACTAACTTGATCTCATAACAGGCATGCTCACTTTATGCAACAAGACTTCAAAGTGTTTGACGCACCCTTCTTCAGTATTACACCTAAAGAGGCCAAGGCCATGGACCCGACACATCGGATCCTTTTAGAAGCCACATATGAAGGCTTTGAAAATGCAGGCTTGAGTCTAGACCAGGTGTCTGGAACTCAGACTTCATGTTACATTGGAACTTTCACAGCTGATTTCCCCAACCTACAGGCCCGTGATAATGAGGGCCCTTCAATCTACCATGCAACCGGCATGTCATCATCTTTGGCTTCCAATAGGTTGTCATGGTTCTACAATCTGAGGGGGCCTTCCCTAACAGTCGACACGGCTTGCTCATCCAGTCTAACTGCATTTCACCTAGCATGTCAAAGTCTTCGTACAGGAGAGGCTGAGATGAGTGTTGTAGGAGGAGCCAATCTTATGTTTGGCCCTGATATGTCCATTCTCTTAGGAGCAGCCAAGATTCTGTCGCCTGAAGGGAAGAGTAAGATGTGGGATGCGAATGCAGACGGCTTTGCTCGTGGAGAAGGTTTTGGTGTAACAATATTGAAGGTCAGAAACCCCTCGGGTGAGACCCGCTGTAGCATGAAAACCAATACTAACGTCACGTGATATCCAGCCTCTGGACGCAGCTCTACGCGATGGCGATACTATCCGAGCGGTTGTGCTGGCTACAGCCACTAATGAAGATGGCCATACGCCTGGAATTTCACTACCTAATAGTGAAGCGCAACAAGATTTGATTCGCAGGGCGTATCAAATGGCTGGAGTAGATCCGGCAGAGACAGGCTATGTCGAAGCACATGGAACCGGAACAATGGCAGGTGACCCATTGGAAGCGAAGGCCATCTTGAAGACTGTTGGGTCAGTCGAGGGCCGTAAGTCAAATCTTTATGTTGGATCCGTAAAGACAAACATCGGCCATCTTGAGGGCGCAGCTGGCGTGGCTGGTGTCATAAAAGCTGCACTAGCCGTAGAACGAGGTCTGATACCTCAAAATCTTTGGTGTGTAGGCTGACATGACCTTCCACACTCATATACTGACCCCAAACAGGTTCGAGAAGCTGAATCCCGAAATCAATCTACCAGAAAATGTCGAAATACCCTTGAAGCTTACGCCATGGCCGTCTGATGGACCACGTCGTGCAAGTATTAACAGCTTCGGTTTTGGTGGCGCCAACGCCCATGTCATTCTTGAGGACACAGCATCTTTCTTGTCACGACATGGTTTGAAGGGTCGTCATGCAACAGCATCGCATCCCTGTATCACTGAAATCGGCGACGGCTACTCCAATGGGACCTCCAGTAGATCGTCAAGTTCAATCGCTGACGAGACTTCAAGTGGCGACTCCAGCGACGCTGCGAGTGATCTATCCAGTGAAATCCTGCACGACGTACCGCCTACACCAAAGCTATTTACAATCTCTGCCAACGACCAAGAGGGAGTGCGGCGCAATGTCGAGCGGTTGCAACACTATCTCTCCGCGAAGACTTCTACTATTCCCACATTTCTTAGCGACTTGGCATTTACACTGAGCGCCAAACGAAGTCTACTTCCATGGAAATCATACGCTGTCTCAGCGAAGGTCTCCGAACTGCAAGAGCGATTGTCCAGCCTTGCACCTGTGGTTCGCTCTTCCGGTTCTGCAATCCCGCGCATTGCCTTTGTATTCACTGGTCAGGGCGCACAGTGGCATGCAATGGGCAAGGGGCTATCAATTCATCCAGCATACTTTGAAAGTATTCAGAGATCCGAATCCCTGCTCAAATCGTTTGGTTGCCCATGGAGCCTCAACGAGGAGCTGAGCCGGACCGAGACCGAGTGCAAGTTGCGAGAGACTGACTACAGCCAGCCAGCATGTACCGCTGTTCAGGTTGCACTAGTAGACCTCTTGAGGGATTTTGGAGTAAACCCCGTTGCAGTTGTAGGCCATTCCAGTGGCGAAATCGCTGCTGCATATGCCGCTGGATTTATCGATCAAGAGGCTGCGATTAAGATCGCATGGCTGAGAGGGCAAGTCAGTAAAACTGTTCCCACCAACGGCGGTATGTTGGCAGTCTCCACCAGCACTGAAAGCGTACAAACCTATATCAATGATCTGAAAGACGGTAGAGTGGTTGTTGGATGCTTCAACTCTACCAAAGCCTGCACTATCACCGGTGACGCTTCAGCCATCAGCGAGCTACAAGACCTATTGAAAAACGCGCAAATACCATGCACCCGGCTACCTATGGATATTGCGTATCATTCGTTCCATATGGAGGCAGCACGTGAGGCATATGAAAGAGCTTTGGAGGGCATTGCGCATGGCTCGACATCAGCCATTCCCATGTTCTCCTCAGTCTCAGGCACACTCGTTACACCCGAAATGATGAAACCATCTTACTGGGTCGACAACCTGGTATCTCCTGTCGATTTCGTCACGGCCACAAAGTGTCTACTGAACCATCCACTGGAGAGTAAATCGCGCAAAGCCTTCGCCAATGTCTTTGTCGAGCTGGGCCCTCACTCAGCACTACGAAGTTACTTACTGGATATTTTTAGCAGTGACAAAATCGCCACAGATCTCACCTACACAAATATCCTCCGCCGCAATTTTGATGGCGCTACAACTGCGCTGGAAGCCATGGGCCATCTGTGGTCACAAGGATACCCGGTCGATTTGAACAAGGTCAATGGTGTACAACCAGAAGATGCCAACATGCTCGTCGATCTACCTCCTTACGCTTGGAACCATAAGCCATACTGGAATGAATCACACCTAAGCCGACAATATCGCCTTCGTGAATCGCCACGCACCGACCTTCTAGGTTATCGACTCCCTGGAACACCTGAACACACATGGCGCAACTTCTTGCGATGCAACGAAAATCCATGGATTCGCGAGCACAAAGTCCAGGGCGACATCCTGTACCCTGGTGCGGGTATGCTCGTAATGGCTATTGAGGCTGCGAACCAAATAGCTCAAGAAACTGCCGCTGATGAGGTCCATGGTTTTGAATTGCGCGACGTCAGCATTGATACCGCTCTTCGTGTGCCGGACACAGAAATGGGTATTGAAGTCATGACACAGCTGCACAATCGCCGAACAGGCACAAAGACAGCACCATCATCTACACTTTACGAATTTACAATCTCTTCGTGGAATGAAGAAATGTCTTCTTGGAGTGCTCATGCGCGAGGTCTGGTCTCAATCACTTACAAGACCTTCTCGAATGCGATGGAGCAAGAGCTGGCTCTTGAAAACGCGCGCTATATGACATTGATGGTTGAAGCCCGAAAGGCATGCCAGAAGCCGGCGAGAAGCTTCCTGTATGATACAGTCGAGACGATTGGTATGCAATACGGTCCAACTTTCCGCAACATGACGGAGCTGTATGCTGGCCTGAATGCCAGTTATGGAGTTATCAAAGTGCCTGATACCAAGGCAATCATGCCCAAGGGCTACGAGTTCCCTCATGTCATTCATCCTGCCACGCTGGACTCAGTTCTTCACTTGCTCTTCCCGAGCATCTCCGGAAAAGAGCAAGCACTCAA